CAAAGCTCCCTTCCTGCTGGTTCCCGGATCCAATCGTTCTCTCCTCCTACTACAAGTCCTGTCACTCACACAACAAGGCGAGATGGCCTTATCTGCAATCGGTTTCGAAGGTTACGAGAAACGGCTCGAGGTTACTTTCTTTGAGCCAAGCATCTTTCAAGACTCCAAGGGACTGGGACTCCGTGCTCTTACCAAGTCCCAGCTTGATGAAATTCTTACACCTGCTGCATGCACGATCGTTTCTTCTCTCTCCAACGATCAATTGGACTCTTACGTGCTCTCTGAGTCCAGCTTCTTTGTCTACCCCTACAAAGTCATCATCAAGACTTGCGGTACCACGAAGCTCCTCCTCTCTATCCCACCACTTCTAAAGCTGGCTGGTGAGCTCTCCTTGAGTGTCAAGTCTGTGAAGTACACTCGTGGCTCCTTCCTCTGCCCCGGAGGCCAGCCTTTTCCTCACCGCAGCTTCTCTGAAGAAGTCTCTGTTCTTGATGGGCACTTTACTCAGCTGGGCTTGAACAGCGTAGCCTGCTTGATGGGCAATGATGATGAGACTAAGAAATGGCATGTCTATGCTGCCTCTGCCCAGGACTCCAGCAACTGCAACAACAATGTCTACACTCTTGAGATGTGCATGACTGGTCTGGACAGAGAGAAAGCTTCTGTCTTCTACAAGAACGAAGCTGACAAAACTGGGTCAATGACTGACAACTCTGGAATCCGAAAGATCCTTCCCCAGTCCCAGATCTGCGACTTTGAATTCGAGCCCTGTGGCTACTCTATGAACTCAATTGAAGGGGATGCAATCTCCACGATCCATGTGACCCCTGAATATGGGTTTAGCTACGCTAGCTTTGAAGCTGTGGGTTACGACTTCAACACTATTGACCTGAGCCAGCTGGTGACAAGGGTACTCTCTTGCTTCGAGCCCAAGCAATTCTCTGTAGCTGTGCATTCGAGCGTTGGAGCGAACGCATACAAGCCAGAGATCACTGTAGACTTGGAAGACTATGGGTGCAGAGAGAGGACATTTGAGTCTCTAGGAGAAGAGAGTGGAACAGTGATGTATCAGACGTTTGAGAAGCTTGGTAAGTACTGTGGATCGCCTAGATCTACCTTGAAGTGTGAATGGAGCAGCAACAATAGCTGCAGCAGCGAGGACGAGAAGGACGAGGGAATCTAGCAGAATTTTCTTCCTAATAACTATTTTCGAGCTTTCTGTTTTTGCTCTTTCTTTTTAAAAAACTATGTTGTTATGAATAATGACTTGTGAAGTTTGAGTTCGTCTCCTTCACAAGCAAGTGTATTGGTGTTTTTCTACTTTATGAATATCGGTTTTATGATACCGAAAGACTTATGTTGAAAAAAAAAAAAAAAGGCCAATCCTTCGTTTTTATTTTGGTACCGGGCTTGAAACATTATCGAATAGCACATTAATAGCACATTAATGTTTGTACCCAGCCGCAACTTATTACCTATGTAAACAATTTACCACGACATTTGCTCATTTGAGCCAATTTAATATAGCTGTTGACAAAAAAAAAAAAAACCCGGATCCGGACATCCGCCGGGTATTACATTTAAGGGTGGGTATCCGAGGGTCGGTTATCCGGTGTTTCCGGATCCGGATACCTTAAAAATGCCCAAAAAATCCGGATATCCGGATCCGTCTCAAGGCTAGTAAAGAAGCTCTCTTTCTTTTCAGGTGATACCGATGTTACGTTTTAGCCTTCTTGTGGTCGTTTCTTCTTATTTTCCATATTGAAATATGAGAACTAGTGAACATTCATCTTTTGGAATGCCATGTCTATAAATTTATGTCATACAAATCTGTGGAATATCATTTTATGTGTTAGCCAGCCTTTACCTTAACGTACTGTTGTTAGTTTGTACTAGATGGAAAAATCGCAATGAAGGAAATGGCTTAATTGATTAGTAGATGCATGTTTTTGTGTCTCATATAAAAAAAAGGGAGATTGACACAAATAGCCCCAAAAAAGTTGTTTTTTCCAAAAATAGCACCTCATTTGAAAAGTTCCATAAATAGCACCATAAACTTCAATTTAACTTAATGAAAATATAAGATAGAAAATAAAAAAAGAGAGCAAACACTAATCTAACATTAAATTGAATCAAAATTATTTTTAAATAGTGGAAATATATACCCTAATTTGGAAATAGGGAACCCAAATATAATATCACAAACTAATATTAAAATAAAAATCTCTTTTAAATGGTGGAAATATATACCCTAAATTGGAAATAGGGAACCCAAATATAATACCATAAACTAATATTAAAATGAATCAAAATCTCTTTTAAATGGTGGAAATATATACCCTAAATTGGAAATAGAGAACCCAAATATAATATTTTAAATTTATTTCTAATTTATTTTGTTGAATAGCTTTTATATAAAAATTGTGGTATTATTGAAAAAATAAACTAGTGATAAAAGTTTTAGAACAAAAACACTAATAGTAAGTTAACTAGTGCTATTTTTGGAAGTTTATGGAGTGTGTGCTATTATTGTCAATAAAACTTGTTTTAGGGCTATTTTTAGGAATTTCTCTAAAAAAAAAGCTAAAAAAAAAAATAAGTTAGTTGTTGTTCAAGCTCTGTTATGGTAACCATTATATAACCTTTTTGATATAAAAGGGTTGTGAGTTTTCAAAACCATTTTTAGTCAGGTATTATGATTTTGTTAGCAGTTTTTTGGCCTTCCATTAGAAGTTCATAATATTCATTGCTTGTTGTAGATTTGAAATGATCCAGAAACCCTCACAACCCTTTTGTCTTATATTACAGGTGATGATGCTTGATTGTTTCGTCACTCCAACCTAGAAATCAAGATGTCCGTTGATGAGATTTTGCCACTTCTTGTGATTGTAATTAAAGGTCCTAACACTTAAATAGAAACTAAAGAAATATATTAAAAAAGATAGAAAGAATAATCAAATAAAGGAATTGACCAAAAGAAAACGGATTTTAGTACAAAATATTTCACTTACATCTTTTAATTGTAAATAATAACACCACAATCTAGACATGGACATAGGGCAGTTTTTCATTTTTTTAAAATTCAGTCGGGTAATCTAATATTTAACAAAAATATATATTATATATTACATAAAAATAGAAATATAATTGTATGTTTACTAAGTTTTATCCCATGTCATGCACAGGTAGCTTCGTTATATAAAATATTATAAAGATTATTAGAAATATTTCTTATAGTTAAAAAGATTATATAATATATTATGATATGTTCTAATAATATTTAGTAAATATTTGATTGAATTTATAAAAATTGATTTTCCTTTTCTATAAAAGAGATTAATAGATTTTAGAATTTTAATCAAGTATATATTTGGTGTTGACAAAAAAAATTAAGTATATATTTGGAGATAAAATTATATATTTTTCCTCCTCATTTTTGTATTTATTTGATAGATTTGAAATTAGTATAAATATAATTAGTAGATTGACGCTATATCATAGGAATGGCGATGAAGACATATAAGTAGCAATGGCTATGAAGACCTATAAAATACAGTAATTATATGGGAAAAAAAATCACTAACCACCGCAACGAGAGTACTTATAAACTCATCTACTTTCATTAAATTCTTTATTCTTGATCTGTTTATTAGACCTTATACCAATAAAGACCTATGCAATCGTTGGGCCCTTGTGCTATGTTACTTGGATATCAGTCCTCCGCATGCTGTGATATGAATGGCCATGGCCGGCTCAACAAATTATTGGGCCCTGTGCTATGTTGCAAATTTTTTTTCACTTGATGGCCTACATCTAGATGTTTAACATATAAAAAATAAGATCCTATTTTGTAATTATTTGAACAATTTGGACCTTAAAATACAAAGAAAAAAAAATTATATATATGAAAATTGGTCAACTTTCTCCATCTTTTCGCCATGTCAACTCACCAGAGAGTGCCACGTGTCCACAACTGAATCACTTAAAAAAAAATCATTTGCTTCATCTTTATCAGTCATTTTTGTCTTCTCCGTACGTTTTTATCGGTTTTATAAAAAAAAATAGAAACAGATTGGTGACTATTTGTTTTCCTCGGTCTTACGATTTACCGGTTTTATAAAAATAAACCACATAAAAATCATATAAAATTCGGCTTGGTTCGATTTTGGTTATTTTCAATTTATTCCCTGACTTTTTGCAAAAAAGTAACATTAGATTTTATATCTTGAATTGTATTATTTTGATTCAGATTCGATAAAACCATGAGTACATTCCAACATAGTTTACCAATTAAATATTAAACTTAATATTATCATGAAATATATCATCTCTCAAAGAGTTTGATTTTCTTTTCTCCAACATGCATGTATTGATATAAACATGCTTAAACATATTATTAGATTGAAAAAAGTTATTCATCTAACTTATATTACCAAGAAGCTTCTTGCAAAAATAATTAAAAGCAAACCAAATAAATGTTATTATAATAATAAAATTTTAAAACAAAAAACGAATGGTTTTAAACTAAACCGAACCGAAGCCAAAACATTTTTAATAATTGTCGCCGAACGGGTTTTTGGAAGAAACCAAAACCAAAACAAATCATATAACTATGGTTTGGTTCAATTTTTTTGATAAGATTTTTTTGCCACTCCTAATTTATTACTACGGAGATAGGTTTATAATTTATTTTTATCGATAAAATAAATTATAAAATAGGAAATACGTAATTGAAGAATTGTAATTATAAACTTTATGATGGATCAAGACGTTTAATTGGTTAAACTATCAAATAATAAAATGACATCTGTCCTTCAATTAAACCAAACCAATTTTAAACTAAAGGGTTTAAGTTTTGATGGACTCGGTTTACTGTGAACCAAAAGAATCAGTTTAGAAATTGGTTTGGTAAATGGTTTAATTGAAGAAACACTCTTCAACGGTCAAATCAAAACACAATCGAAATATATAACTCGCGTAAGCCTTGGACACCAAGAGTCTTTTTAAATTCACAAAAATATCTGTTTGGATATCGAAATTTGACCGTTGGGCGCTCAGAGGCTCTACCAAATTCTAACATCTCCGACTCCGACGAAGAAGTTGAGAAGCAGTGGAAAAGTTAGATCGTGGAGCCACCGTTGTCGCCGATCTCAGCGAAGGGGAAAGAAACGAAGTCGTTGGAGAAAGATCTAGTGGAGTAGGAGGCGATGTTGGAGAAAACAGACGATTTTCTGAAGGAGAATGGATGATATCCTGAGGAAGAAGAAGATGAAGAAGGAGAAAGTCTCGACCGTGTTCGTCGGAGATGCTAGATTGGTGGAGGAGCCGAATTACAAAGGATTCCACGGTAACAATACTCGTGATTCTTCTCTTGATATTCGGAGGCTAAAGGTTATTGAGATTTGATTAATTTTTTAGAGAGTCTTTGGAATTGAGTTTTAGGTCAATTCACGGGGAGTGAAATTGCCGATTTTCGAAGAGGATATCATCAATTGAAGATTCGATTGATTACAAAATCGAGGATTTGAAGTAAAACCCTGAAAGTGGAAGCTTTTGTTTCTCTGATTCTGGAAAGTTTCCAGTATCCATCCTCTTGATTAAATTCGTATCCTTGCTTGTTTATGGACGCTAATTATATATCTTTTTTGTTTCTTATTAGGGGCTTCTAAGAAGATTCTTGGATATAGTTATGGTGATGCTTCTTAAATCCGAAAGAGAAGCAGACGGTCTCTTTGGAAAGTTGTGCTGTAGTGTTGTCTTAGTAGGAACAAGCTGGCCACTATTCTTGAAGAGGAAGAAGCGAGATGGAGAATGAACACCAGTAAGACACTATTTTCATTGGTCAATGGAGAAACATTATAATGGAGAACAGTCGTTGCAGCATAATCTTGAACCTCTTTCGTCTATATACCTTTAGTTGGTATGATTTTGATGATGACATGTAAATTCATATTTCTCATGATTTGTGTGATGCAGGATAAGCTGAAAGGATACTCAAGCCAATCATAAGGATGTTGTTATATGTAGAGACACTATCAACATAATCAGTAGATTTAAATGTCTGTTATATTCACTTTTTAGTTTTACATAAAGTGTGGATACTCTTTCACTGCCAACTATTAATACGTCTTTGTCCAGGTTATGATGGAACATCAATACCCAAGCTGAGGGTTCGCAGTACATGAAAAATTCATGGCGTCTGAAACTCATGACCCTTTTCTCATTCGCCAGGTAAGTCTAGCTTTAATGTAGAGTTTTCCTCCCTTTGGTTATTCAATACTTGATTTAATAGCTGTTGAAACTTATTACTACTGAATATTTATTTGGTTGCAACATGAGCTGAAATTCATTTGACAACAAGAAGGAGTATTTTGTCATGAGTCAGTTGGTTCACGCATTCAAATAAGTTCCTTGAATCCTTTTTACTGAATTAGTTTGTGTTCCTTTCACCTTTATCACGTCTCTGCAATTGTTCATTATTTTTTCTTTTTAACAGGTTTTCTTTTTACCTGATTGATCAATACTTCTTTATGCTGTGTCTTGGAGTTGCCCGAATTAATATCCTTTCGTAATGTTTCCTTTTCTGAGTATACCTGATTGATCAATACTTCTTAATTGGCTTTTATTTTCTCATTTTCTCACAACCATTTTTAGTCCGGTGTGTAAGTGGTTTGGCTAATTCTTTCTTAAGGTTTATGTCATTGATTTTGTTAGCAGGCTCTGTTTTTTTTTTCTCCCAAGTTTAGGAGGATCAAGAAACAGCAGTTCGTCTAGCGAACACAATGAAAAATTCGTTGAAGGGAAGACCAGTGCAGGTACCTTGTTATGTTATTGTAAGTAATAGCCACTAGCACTGAAGATTGTTTAATAACTTGATCTTCTTGCAGGCTCCTATATTTGAGGGTAAAGTACCTCCACAATTTTGTTGCACTTTTCAACATATGGTTGTCCTTAAGGTATTTCTTTGATTGTTGCTGCAAGAAAATCTATTCGTAATTGATATAGTTACTTTAACTTTTAGGGTGATTTGAGTTCTGGTTACAAAAATAGAATGACAAAGAAAGGTTAATCAGACGGAATCAGTTGCACTTATTCAAGTATCTGGAACTAGAGTTCACAATAATAAGGCACTACAAGTTGAAGCGGTACTGTTCTTCTTTCTTTGTCCCGTTTTCTTAATTTTCATTCTCTTGTTTCAGTTGATGGCTGAAGAGATAGAATTGGTGGTTAACGTTGACTGTTTCAGAATAGCCGAGAGAGAAGCAAAGTACTGATCAAAGAGTGCACAAAGAAAAGAGGTCCAATGTTCCTCTCTCCCTGTACTTTTTATTTATACAGTTGTTTGATGCTACAATAACTTTTAGGGTGGTTTGAGTTCTAGTTACAAAAATAGATTGACAGAGAAAGGTTCATCAGACGGAATTAGTTGCACTTATTCAAGTATCAGAAAATTTTCAGGTGAGAATTTAGACAAATTATCCAATGTTTTCTTATCAGTTATCAAGACTTTTGACCTCTTGCTTTAGGTCGCTTAGGAGGATGGTTTTGTATTAGCTGTTTATTTATTTTCTAATATTTGGTTCCTGATAGTTGATTTCATAAGTTACTTTTATTTACTTGTGTAAATGATTTCTTACGTAGATGATTTGACTCCATTATACATTTTTTTTTTACTTCTGAATTGGGATTGATTCGTCTCCTTTTTCTTTGTGAGTTACTCCTTGTTGCAAGCTCTGTTTGAAACGAATCAACTATTGGATCAAGACTGAAGATGAGAACCTAATTATGTAGCTGCAGAGGTTTATTAAGTTGGTTTTTCATTTGTTTCTCAGTCTATGTTTACAACTGTCTTTCTGATGTTATAGTGCATAGACATGCTCGAAGTTGTTACATTTTGTGGTGCCATAGAACCAGAGCTTTTACAGGGGAGAAGAAGTGGAAGATTACTGTGATCAAGTCATGATTAGAAGAAGCTGATGTCTTGGTATTTACAATCAACTTGCTTAATGTTTATACCATTCTGTTCTAGTTTTAAAACTCAATATATGCTTCTGTGTTTTGTTTTGTAGATCTGGAAAATGGATCTTGAGGCTAGAAGTTTGCAGCCAAGTGCTAAAGCTGTATGTCTTTCTAAACTAAAAGATCGTAAATTGATGGAATTCAAACGAGCGTAAATTGATCTGAACCAATTGAAAAAGGAATTCAAACGAGTCTCGTCCGTGGCGAATTGATGGAATCCAGAGTGGCGGAGGTAAGCTTATGTGTCCTGAGGGACCCTTCTTTATTTTTCATCTTCGCACAATTTTTTAGATGGCAGAGGCGTTTTTGCGATTGACATTATTGTCCTCGTTCCAGGTATCTGCTGATCAAAGAGGAAGATTGGCAATGTCAGTGAAGAGGCTTGACCAATCAAAAGACAGAGTCAGGGAGATTAGAAGACTAATGCTGGAGACAGAAGAGGTTGGTATCTCAGTTTTCCAAGATCTGAATCAGCAATGCCAAACCCTTCTTCATGTGCACACCAAGGTACCGCAATTACTCGAATTGCTTTTGGTATCTATCAGTGCCAGTGATTTACTATCATTATGGGAGAAGAGTCGAAGAAAATTTCCACAAATCACATTTTTCAGGTTCTGCAGCTGAATCTTTGAAAAAATGTACCCTATAGCTAAAGTTCTTGATAACATCTTCAAAGGATCTTATATAACCATATGAAAACAGTAAGTCTTTGAGCATAAAAAATCTCCTCTTCTTTGGTTACAGGTTGTAAAAATCGATGGGCGTGTGATTGGTGACGGAAAAGTTGGACGGGTAACAAGAACACTGCAAAACGCTTACAAGAAAGACAGAGGATTCTGGTGCCCAATGCCTACTTACCAAGAACCCTGAAGTACAAAACGAGAGGTAATCAAAGTTGCTAAAATATGCATCTATTTAAGAGTAGTATATCAAACTTTTTGGTTATCAGATGCAAGAGTAGATTAAAGATTTTATATTTCACATGATTCAGGATTTATTCCGTTTATTTTAGGATTTGAACACGAGGGAACTTAACCAAAAGAAGCATTCAACGTTCACATTCAGGTAATGCATTGAATTTAATTTAATTCTCATAATTTCATGACTAGCTTTGGTTTCTATGAAATGCATGCATTGCCGCATCCTACAGTCCAATTTCCCTACAATGTATCATTTTTGCTTTCATCATCTCTATATGAACAGTCTAAGCTCTTCCATTTTTCAGCAAAAATGAATTTACTGTTCACTTTCCTAATGTTTAGTATCATTGAACCCAGGTTAAACATTATTACTTATCCTAATTTTGATCTGCCCACTCCTTATTAGTTACTCATTGGATCTGGACATGTGCTCTCACGCCCTCGTTCTTTATCTTTCTTGTGCTAGTTTATTTTCAATGTGAGACATACAGAAAGCCTGAAAGGATTTGGCTTCCAGGATCATATGAGACCATCGGAGCAGCTCTGGTATGTAATATGAGTAGTGGATCATCTTACTATTGTTGTAGTATCAAGTATGTACCTGACTAGCTTGTGTTTAATTGCTTCGTGACTGAGTCTAATTGTGGTATATATGGCCTTCTTGATGAAACAATAATGTCTACCTGAGATTTTGGATTCACTAACCATTAATTCATGAACATAGAATACCCGTATTGAAACTAAGATATACGTCCGGGTAGTGATCTGTTGCTCGTTTCCATATTCCTGGCTGTTCGGTTTTTTTTTTCCTTATTCTCATTAAAAAAAAAAACCCTAAATAAGTTAGTTTTTGTTCAGGCTCTATTATGGTACCATTTTATAACCTTTCTGATATAAAAGGGTTGTGAGGACTCCAAACCATTTCTAATCAGGTATTTAAGGGTTTGGCTACTTCTTTCTTAAGGTATATCTCATTGATTTTGTTAGCAGACTCTGCTGTTAGTATCGTATTTTATTGTTATGATTAGTTGCCTTTGGACTTTTGAGGTAGCCCTCAAAGTTTGATTACATATTGTGATGGATTTCATCTATTTAGTTTATGGCTTTATGTATAACATGTTGAATTTAGCCACCTAACTTTTGTTTTCTTCCAACTTTAGGAGGATCAAGAAACATCAGTTCGTCTAGCGAGCACAATTACATATTCATTGAAGGGAAGAGCACTGCACGTACCTTCTTTTGTTATTGTAAGTAATAGGCACTAGCACTGAAAGATTATTTAATAACTTGATCTTCTTGTTGCACTTTTTCAAAAAGGTATTTCTTTTGATTTTTTCTGGAAGGTATAAACTCATTTTTTTTATGTTTCTTTCTGATACAAATATGAAGCTATTGACATATCATGAACTTCCGTGAAGAAAAAAGGCTATGGATCTCATGTTCGATGAGGTCCCCTGTCATGGATTTATCGAACTTATCCAAACCTTTGAATTGCCATCAAATAATATATTAATGGTTAAGGTTGGAAACTGGTTGTGCTCACTGCTTTTCAGCTTCGGAACAGAACGTAAATCTAATTAGAAACTGGATTTTGCTATTGCTTTTTTACTATGACATGTTTAGCAAATCACAGCTACTAGTGTCCCGTGTTCTTGATCTGTTGACTTAGAAGCTCTTTGCTTTAACTGCAGGAGCTGAAGCTTTATCAACACTTCTTCATGTTGTGTCTTGGATGAAAAGAGAGGAAGCTGGCCCAATAAATATCTTCTATTCCTATCTACGTATTCTATTTGTTGAAGTTTACAGCTGGAGTGACATAAATATTGGTTTGATTCCTTTAATATTTTTTTTGGCTTCGTGATTTTTTTTTTTTTCTGTTTATATGTGAAGTACTTCTTGTTGCCACCATGGAGTCGAGAGTGCAAGCTCTGCCATGTTCTGTTCATTTCCCAATTGAAAATGGTTTCTTCTTGATCCTTCTTTTTTTAAAGCGAATGTAAAGACTCGCTGAAGCTATTTTCTTCTTCTGATTACATTGCGCCTTATCGCCTTTTTCTTACATAGTAGATGGTTGACTTCATTATTTCAACCAAATCTAACATTGGTTTTTTTTTTCAGGTATGGACAACATGAACTATGGGAGGATTTTACCTTATATGGTGGTTTCTGTCATTTAAATTTTACTACTTGTTTTGTGTTTTTATATAGTCTAACGCGTGCAGGTTGAATTTTTCTCTGAAGGAATGCATGTTTGCTGCTTGCTATTTGCTTTAACTTATATTACTAACACGGCCTTAAATTTAGTTTTCCAAATGGTTTTAGTCTTTCTCATTAACTAAAATGTCTGTGAGAGTGAAAGCTCTTCTCTGCTCTACTATATATATGAATTAGTTTTCGAAGAGGTTTAGAAGGTCATCAGATTTCATGCCTTTATCAGTATTTGGTCGGTATCAATATTGTGATTTGATAGCATGTGGGGTGTGCTAGTAATTGTTTTGGTATCAGTTCTATTTGCTAACAATCTTGCAGTAATTCTTTCACTGGTTTTTAAGCAATTATCTTTGGATGAGTTTCTTTGTTTGATATCTAAGCTGCTTGAATTTGTTAATTTATGTGTTATATCTTTTGGATATAGGATGTCGATGATTCTAGATAGGTAGAGATTTTGATGTTCCAAGATTTCGATTTTCACTTTCCTTCTGTTCTTCAGAGAGTTAATGTTATGTTGGACGTTCTTTGTGATTAGTTGGCCAAAGTGATTGTATAGATCTGTTGTTTCGGCTCTTGATTATGTGGGTTCACTTCTTTGTGTTAGGTTCTCTTTATTATAGAGTGTTCATGTTTTCACGCTTGCTTTAGGTAGCTTAGGATGATGGTTTTGTATTAGTTGTTTCCTGAACTCTGTTTATTTGTTTATGTTCTTTGACTAAACGTTTTCTTAGAGTCTAAATCATATGAGAAGGGGGTCTACTTTTAAGTATGGTGCTAGTTAATGTGATTATGTTAGAGAGGGTTTGGGAACGTACTCATTTAATAGCAATTAAATTATGTAGTTTCGTCACATGCCAACTCTGTTTTCAGCACATTTATATAGAATGAAGTTAGAGATTATATCTCATTTGTTAAAATGACCAGTAGACTAATTAAAACCGAGGAAGCTATGCATTTATAGAGGAGGATATATTTATAGCTACTAGTATCCCATGTTCTTGATATGTTGACTTAGACGCTCTTTGCTTTAACTGAGCCGAGACAGTTCAAATGGAAGCCAAGGGGCTGAAGCTTTATATCTGCATTCAATTCTACACCATCAAAGTCACCTCCACGAAGACCAGAAGTAACAAGTTAGGCATCACAAAGAGGGTAAGTTCTTTACCAGTATTGATCTATTGCTGATGAGTGAAAAGGTATACTCCTGTAAGTACAAACCATACAAGACACATGATATTTGGAAAAACAAAGGTAAAAATGTAGAATTGTAATTTTACATTTTTTACACTGATGCGTGTGAGACTTTTTTGTGTGTCAAACATCTCAAACTTTGCTACGTAACTTTTCCGTTTATTTCGAGCGATCACCTTGTTTGAGTTTTGGTATTATATGGGGCAACTCTTGCACTGTCTTCAGAAACTTTCTTGATTCATGGGTGTTTTCTTTCTACTGTTTTATTCCTTTTGCATTGGTTACCTTTATTGACTTGTTGAAATTACTTCTTATGCAGATACAGGGGATATCACGTTTTGGTCTCTCGTTTTTAATGGTCCTCAGGTTTTGCCTCTTTTATTTTTCATACCAATATTACTTACTTGGTTTAGGTTGTAGAGTTTCTCAAAGTGAGAAACGCTTGTATACTAGGCTTTGGCTCATAAATTGCAACATGTGGCTTTCTTCTGTTGTAGTGTTTGGTGGCTGCTTGAGCGTTGATTGGACATTGCACGTTATCTTGTCTCTGTTTATGGTTTCGGGGGTTTTACTCGTTTCCTAATTTTGTATTCCCACTTTACTTTGATTTTTGGATTTCATTGGATGATCTGGTTTTAAATTGTACTTTTCTTAAAACATTATGACAGGATTTGGCAACCCGTGGCATCAATCTCATCTTGAGTGAGGTATATTTTAGGTGTGTACAATAATTTACCCTTCTGCTGCAGGATCAGTCTAGCAGTGGGATGTGTTTCATTCTCTCTTGATTTAAAGATTTTGCATACTTTATTCTCGCTGAGGAGGATAAGTCATCTGAGCCTAGTCTTAAATATTGGTACACGTCTCTTCCCTTCTTGTGGCATATGTGGCCTTCTTGATGAAACAAAATGGCTACCTGAGATTTTGAATTCACTATCCATTAGTTCATGAACATAGAATACTCGTATTGAAACTAAGACATACGTCTGGGTAGTGATATGTTGCTCGTTTCCATTCATTATATAATATGATGACTCACTGGTATGCTCATCTATCTCCTATGGATGTTAACATATGATCTTGGCAGCTTTGTGTTTTTTTTCCCCTTGATATTGATGAAAACCACATTTGCAGGTTCAAGTGCTTATATACTCCCAATGAATATGTACTCTTTGAAGATATCCTATGTCTACTATTCTACATGATTAAACCAGAGGCAAGAGTTCTTTCGAATCATAACATGATCTTTTCATATTCCGGGCTGTTTTTTTTTTTTGCTTTCTTATTTGAAACATCAATTGTTGAATGACTCTTTCAGAAGGAGAACTGCATCACACTCCAGGATCTGAAAGCATCTAAACTTTCTGGAAATGTTTTCAAAGTATACGCTTCAACCTGAACAAATTCATGGCGTTTGAAACTAGTGACCCTTGTCTCATTCGCCAAGTAAGTCTAGATTTTCTGTAGATTTTCCCTCCCTTTGGTTATTCTATACTTGGTTTAATAGCTTTTGAAACTTATTACGTACTACTGAATATTTATTTGGTTGCAACATGAGCTGAAATTTATTTGACAACAAGAAGGAGTACTTTGACACGAGTCAGTTGGTTCACGCATTCAAATAAGTTCCTTGAATCCTTTTTACTGAATTGGTTTGTGTTCCTTTCACCTTTATCACTTCTCTAATGTTCATTATTGTTTCTTTTAACAGGTTTTCGGTATCTGATTGATCAATACTTGCCGTGTCTTGGAGTTGGCCGAATATTTGCTATCCTATGTCAAATATTCGAGATGATTAAACAAGAGTCAAGAGTTCTTTCAAATCATAACATGGTCTTTTCATATCCCTGGCTGTTATGTTTTTTTTTTTTTTCCTTATTCGAAACATAAATTTGTTGAATGACTCTTTCAGAAGGAGAATTGCATCTCACTACAGGATCTGAAAGCATCTAAACTTTCTGGAAATGTTTTAAATAGACTCTTCAACCTGAACAAATTCATGGCGTCTGAAACTTATTCATTCGCCAGGTAAGTGTAGCTTTTCTGTATAGTTTTCCTCCCTTTGGATATTCAATAGCTGTTGAAACTTATTACTACTGAATATTTATTTGGTTGCAACATGAGTTGAAATTCATTTGACGACAAGAAGGAGTATTTTGTCATGAGTCAGTTGGTTCACGCATTCAAATAAGTTCCTTGAATCCATTTTACTGAATTAGTTTGTGTTACTTTCACCTTTATCACGTCTCTAAAGTTGTTCATTATTGTTTCTTTTTAACAGGTTTTCTTTATACCTGATTGATCAATAATTTTTTATATCCGAATCAATATTCTTTTGTAATGTTTTCTTTCCTGAGTATACGTGATTGATCAATAATTCTTTATTGGCTTTTATTTCTCGTTTCTCACAACCAAGATATGTTGCTCGTTTCCATTCATTATATAATATGATGCCTCACTGGTATGCTCATCTATCTCCTATGGATGTTAACATATGATCTTGGCAGCTTTGTGTTTTCTTTCCCCTTGATATTGATGAAAACCACATTTGCAGGTTCAAGTGCTTATATGTACCTGGATGGAGAATGGATATGGGGTGGTGATCACTCCCAATAAACATGTTGAATTTAGCCACCTGACTTTCTTTTTTACTCCCAAGTTTAGGAGGATCAAGAAACAACAGTTCGTCTAGCGAACATAATGAAAAATTCGTTGAAGGGAAGAGCAGTGCAGGTACCTTGTTTTGTTATTGTAAGTCATGGATTTCTCAAACCTATCCAAACCTTTAAACTGCCATCAAATAATATATTAGTGGTTAAGGCTTACTGCTTTTCAGCTTAGGCATAGAACGTAAATCTAATTAGAAACTGGATTTTGCTAGTTCCTTTTTACTATGACATGTTTAGCAAATCACAGCTACTTGTGTCCCATGTTCTTGATCTGTTGACTTATAAGATCTTTGCTTTAACTGAAGGAGCTGAAGCTTTATCAACACTTCTTCATGTTGTGTCTTGGATGAGAAGAGAGGAAGCTGGCCCAATAAATATCCTTTATTCCTATCTACGTATCCTATTTGTTGAAGCTTACAGCTGGAGTGACATTAATGTTGTTTTAATATTCTTTTTGGCTTCGTGATTGTTTTTTTTTTTTATGTTTATATGTGAAGTACTTCTTGTTGCCACCATGGAGTCGAGAGTGCACGCTCTGCCATGTTCTGTTCGTTTCCCAATTGAAAATGGTTTCTTCTTGATCCTTCTTTTTTAAAAGCGAATGTAAAGACTCGCTGAAGCTATTTTCTTCTTCTGATTACATTGCGCCTTATCACCTTTTTCTTACATAGTAGATGGTTGACTTCATTATTTCAACCAAATCTAACATTGGTTTTTTTTTTTTCAGGTATGGACAACATGAACTATGGGAGGATTTTACCTTATATGGTGGTTTCTCTAATTTAAATTTTACTACTTGTTTTATTTTTTTATATAGTCTAACGCGTGCATGTTGAAATTTTCTCTGAAGGAATGCATGTTTGCTGATTGCTGTTTGCTTTAACTTCTATTACTAACACGGCCTTATATTTAGTTTTCCAAATGGTTTTAGTCTTTCTCATTAACTAAAATGTCTGTGAGAGTGAAACCTCTTCTCTGCTCTACTATATATATGAATTAGTTTTCGAAGAGGTTTAGAAGGTCATCTTATTTCATGCCTTTATCAGTATTTGGTCGGTATCAATATTGTGATTTGATAGCATGTGGGGTGTGCTAGTAATTGTTTTGGTATCAGTTCTATTTCCTAACAATCTTGTAGTAATTCTTTCACTGGTTTTTAAGCGATTATCTTTGGATGAGTTTCTTTGTTTGATATCTAAGCTGCTTGAATTGGTTAATTTATGTGTTATATCTTTTGGTTATAGGTTGTCGATGGTTCTAGATACGTATAGATTTTGATGTTCCAAGATTTCGATTTTCACTTTCCTTCTGTTCTTTAGAGAGTTAATGTTATGTGGGAAGTTCTTTGTTATTAGTTGGCCAAACTGATTGTATAGATCAGTTGTTTCGGCTCTTGATTATGTGGTTCACTTCTTTGTGTTAGGTTCTCTTTATTATAGAGTGTTCATGTTTTCACGCTTGCTTTAGGTCGCTTAGGAGGATGGTTTTGTCTTAGTTGTTTCCTGAACTCTGTTTGGTTGTTTATGTTCTTTGACTAAACGTTTTCTTAGAGTCTAAATCATATGAGAAGGGGGTCTACTTTTAAGTATGGTGCTAGTTAATGTGATTGTGTTAGAGAGGGTTTGGGAACGTACTCATTTAATAGCAATTAAATTATGTAGTTTCGTCACATGCCAACTCTGTTTTGAGCACATTTATACAGAATGAAGTTAGAGATTATATCTCATTTGTTAAAATGACCAGTAGACTAATTAAAATTGAGGAAGCTATGCATTTATAGAGGAGGATAGATTTACATTTAAACTGAGGGGAAGCTGCCAGAACCTGACTGTCATCGACTTAGATGTTGTTTTTCTTCTTGTTGACATGAATAGAAGAAAGCAAAACAGAGACTTGAAGGTAAAACGTTTATTCAAAAAGTCAAATCTTTTGGTTAAAACTATTTTTTGGAGAGTTTTAACTTTAAACACCCTTTTGCTTTTATTGCTTTAGGATCAAGCAAAGATGTCGAAGACCATAAAACTAAAGATGCACAATTATTGCAACTTTACTTTGACACCATAAGATTAGCAACTAATGACTTCTCTCCAAACAACCATCTTGGTGCTTGGTGAAGGTGGATCTGGTGCAGTTTATAAGGTTGATAAGTGTTTCTTATGTTTATGATCTTAGTTAGACGTTTTTTGGATGATTTAATCTCATAACATGTGTTTCAATAATCACCAGGGTGTTCTTTATTCTGGGGAAGAGAGCTGTGAAGACTGTCAATGAAATCAGGACAAGGAGACAATGAGTTCGTAAACGAAGTCTCGTTTGTTGCGAAACTTCAACATCGTAATCTTGTGAGGCTTTTAGTTTTTCATCATCTATGAGTTCTTCAGGAAAACCATTTTTGGTCAGGTATTTAAGGGTTTGGCTACTTCTTTCTCAAGGTTTATGTTATTGATTTTGTTTTTGGTTGATTTTGGTTGATATTACTTGATTATGTATAGATCAGTTTCTTCGGCTCTTGTTTATGCATGTGGGTTTTCTATCTGTAGTTTCCTGAATCTCTAGGGTTGTTTATGCCATTTGACTAAACGTTTTCTTAGAGTCTAAATCATAGTCACATATTCTTGTTGGAGGATTAACTTTTTATTTAAATTACTTATTAATATTACAAGTATGTGGAAGACGCAAAAGAAGTTGCTTTTAGATCGTTCCCCATTATTTCTTAGTGCTAACTGTTTTTCTGTTTATTCAAAACTCTTAATTCTTACTAGAGATCACATTGGGGTTCTGGCTTAGTCTCGTGTGTTGGCTTTATCATCTCGCGGGCTTCATCAGTTCCAAGATTGGATAAAACTGCTGTTTGCTTGCAAGGGAGCGATCACAGTCTAGATTAGATAAGTTTCTATATCTCTTACCTAATTTACTCTCTGAATTTGTCTCAGCCTTGGTTTTTTGGACCAAAGTTAACATGCTTGTTCTGCAAGTTTGTGTGGGTTTAATTCAGAATCAATTCATGCTGGAGGTGAGACCTGTATGATACTTTCTGATTCCTAATTGGTTGACTCGAGAGGCGGCTTTCTTTTGATGGTCTTCAGGTTTTGTCGTTTTTTGCTCAATGATGGTCTTCAGATTTAATTGCTTGTGCTTACTGCTTTGCAGCTATTGCTAGTTCTTTTTACTATGACATGTTTAGCAAATCACAACTACTAGTGTCCCATGTTCTTGATCTGTTGACTTACACGCTCTTTGCTTTAACTACAGAGCCGAGACAGTTCAAGTGGAGGTCAAGACGCTGAAGCTTTATATCATCAAAATCACCTCCACGAACACCAGAATTAACAACTTAGGCATCACAAAGAGGGTAAGTTCTTTACCAGTATTGGCCTATTGAAGCATATGAGTGAAAAGGTGTATATATCTGTAAGTACAAACAAGGGTAAGAATCATAGTTAATTGTGATTATTACAAAGACGGGCCTTTTCGAAAATCCTTTTCAACATACTGTTTGAGTTCACTTCAGGTGCCTCAATGCATAGATAAACTTGCCTAAGCTGGTCTCAAGATATGGGGTTTGACAGGAGTTAAGTTGGAGACAGCGATAAACATAGGGTTTCTTGCCGTTGTAGTTGACTGTGCATCAGTGATCTGTTGTCGTGTCTCTCCCTGACCGAAAGCACTTGTATAAATAACTCCACAACTCTAAAAATATATTTTTCTAGGTAACACAGCTAGCCAAAGAAGGAACAGGAAAAACGACTTTGGGAATGGTGATGGTGAAAATGATGTTGGAATGATTCAAGAGGCTGATATTGGTGGTGGCATTAAGTGGCGTTGAAGGTATGCAAGTGCTTAAAAAAATATTCTTCAGCACAATGAGACATGGTTAAGTTTTGGAGAAAGAAAAGTAAGAATGTAGAATTGCAATTTTACATTTTCTTACTGATGCATGTGACACTTTTTTGTGTGCAGGATATCTAACAATTACAAAATCAGAGAATTGGAGTTTTGGCTTGTGTTTTGTTTTAGGTTTCATATCACTCACTTCACTTGGTCTCTTGGATCAGGATCGAAGAAATACCGGTATTGTAAGGTAAGAAGTCTCAGATTGCTTGATTTTTAAGCTTCAAAGTTAATATTATCAAATTTTCTTTGTTGTCTCTTTTCTTTTAAAAAAAGATAGTGTGTTGTTCTGTCTGAGCTCTGAACAGGTTTTTCGGTTTGCCAAGTGAACTGATGAATAAAGGAAAGCATTTCATATTGATAAGAAATCCTGTTAAAATACTGGTCAGATTTTCTCATCAAACACTGGTTCTCAACTTTAGCCAACGTTTCAACTAATGCTCTTCTCTGTTTCTGGAATTAGGCTTGGGGGAATTAGTGTCGATATACAGTGATCTCTGTCAGATGGGAATACCACCAGCAGTCATCAATGCGGATGAGCTTCAGGGAGATCCCGAGGTTTTGTTTCTGTAATATGTAAATTTTAACTAAGATGTCTTTTTCTATTACATGTTATGCCATCCATATAGACATGCAGACTACACTACACGGTCTTTGTGATGATTTGAAACTTGTGACCCTTTTTTCATCAGCCAAGTAAGTCGAGCTTTTCTATAGAGTTTTCCTCCATTTAGTTATTCAATCCTTGGACTAATAGCTGTTGAAACTTATTACTACTGGATATTTATTTGGTTGCAATATGAGCTGAAATTCTTTTGAAAACAGGAAGGAGTACTTTGACATGAGTCACTTGGTTAACACATTCAAATAAGTTCCTTGAACCTTTTTTACTCAATTAGTTTCTGTTCCTATCACCTTTATCACGTCTCTGATGTTCATTATTGTTTCTTTTAACAGGTTTTATATTTTCATCGCTCAAAAAATGGTTCAGTTGAGGACTTAAACATTCTGGAGATGGATGCGGAAGACAAGCTAAATACTGACCAGTGTTCTCCATCATCAGGTAACTAATATATGATATTATGTTAAGATTTTACAGGACACGATAAGAAGTTGCCCTTTTGTGGTAATGCTTTTTCTGCAAGTTCGTGTGTGTTTTAACACAGAATAATTTTTCGTTCCTAATTGGTTGACTCGAGCGACAATTTCCTTATCTCTTTCTTCTGATGGTCTTCCGGTTTCGTCTGTTTTTTGCTGATAATTGTTTAGACCTTAGAGTAACTTTTACTTGATTTAAATTTTAGATAGTTTCTCAGTGTGAAAAATACTGTCAAGAAGGTACTATATTATATTTTTTCTTATTACATTGCATCTTATCACAATTTTCTTACATAGTAGATGGTTGACTTCATTATTTCAACCAATTATAATTTCTCCTCATGTCTTGTTGCGTGTTTTTCATATTTTTTTCATCACTCACTTCACTTTGATTCTCTTGTTTCAGTTAATGGCTGAAGAGATTGGATTGGTGGTTCGTTTATTGTTTCAGCAAAGCCGAGATAGAAACAACAAAGTCAAGATCATAGGGTACCCTGTGCCAAGCCAAATTTGTTCCAACGTTTCTCTCTCCCTTTACTTTTTTTTTTTACACTAACATAAATTACAGTTATCTACGTACAAATATGTTGACACCATTTTTGTTTCGCAGAAGGCTGGTGTTACTACATCAAAACGAGCGTGTCAGCAACAGGTGAGTTCTTTGTCCTATTTATCTTGATAACTCAGATGTTGAATCTAAACCGTTATTCTTTTGTTGTAGAAAGAAAGAAGCTAGTGCGTAATAGTGTTAATGATCGTGCTTCAAAATAAGTCTTTTTATGCGCAAGCAGCTTGCCGGATTTTGGTCTGCATATTCACCATCTCTCTAATGAAACTGGAGATGTATCAATGGGGGATAAAGTGACCTGCTAGGTAAAATATTTCCCTTGTATAGTGGTTTCTCTCTTTTGGATTTTACTTGTATAACTTTCTTTTATCTTGTCTAATGTGTGAAGGTTAACTATGAGAGACGTAAACTCATCGCTAACAATCAGACATGCACACGTTGAATTTTTCCCTGAAGGTATGTATTTTTTCTGTTTGCTTTAATTTATACTACGAAACCTTAAAATTATGTCTTTCTCATGAACATAAAATGGGCTTAGGTATCATATTTACCAGAACAGATCAAATTGATTTTTCCTGAAAAATTACAATTTGTTTTTTCCCATGGCAAGCTGGTTGATCATGAATATTAGAGAATTATCGATTAGGACGATCTGGATGTTTTTTTTTCAAGAATGAAGGGTCTAAAAGAAGGGCTTGCTGAATCGAAACGCTAAGAGAATCATAAGGGGAAGTAAACTTTAAATTCATTCTCTTACTAGCCATTTTTTAGCTTGATTTCTACTAAATTATACATGTTTTGCTGTTTAATGCTTATTTTTAGCTTGATTTCTTTTGATTTTCCTTTTAGGGTATGGATTTAGGCTTTTCTAGTTTCTTAAGCATCGTTTCCAAGGTTCAAGTTCTCATATTGTCAACAAATTTACTTTCTTTTATACAGTTCATGGTGAAGAAACTGTCTGTGTTCTTGTTCCTCACGCAGATTACTGTCTCCCTGGCAAAACCAGAGCAACTGTAAGGGAGAGACATACTTGTCTATTCTTGTTGTGACTGATCATCGCTCTCATCTTTTTCACTAAATTACGAAAGTTTTTTGGGGTTTCTATTATCTTGTCTATTCTTAATTCTATGTTATTTGATGTTTGGCTTTTCCAATCACTAAGCAAAATTTCAATTTTGACTTTTTTAGGAGTTGCAAACATTATGGAAGAAAGAGGAGTCGAAGAAAACGTCCTCTGTGTTTTTTCTTTTGATGGTCTTCAGGTTTTCTCTGTTCACTCCTTAATTGGTTGACTCCAGAGATAGTATGTATGTAAACTATCTTTTTCCTTGTTATCTCTATATTAGAGCTTAGGAAAATTGCATTTCCTACCATCAAATACATTCAAGTAAGTGCATTGATTTTAATTTCATTCTCATCATTTCATGACTAGCTTTGATATCTATGAAATGTAGCACAACCTTCTTTGTCGTGTCTTCAATTATTATCTAATTCAGTTTTGGTAACCTCAGTTGTTAAACTCTAACGGTCTGGTTTGTGGTAGCATGCATTACCGCATCTTAAAGTCCAATATCCCTGCAATGTATCATTTTTGCTTTCATCATCTCTATATGAACAGTCTAAGCTCTTCCATATTTTCAGCAACAATGATTTTAGTGTACACTTCCCTCATTGAACCTAGGTTAAGCATTATTACTTATCCTAATTTTGATCTGCCCGCTCTTTGTTAGTCACTCATTGGATCTGGATATGTGCTCTCACGCCCACTTTCTTTATCTCTTTTTCGCTAGGTTTTTTTCGATGTGAGACAAACAAAAAGCCTGAGAGGATTTGGTTTGTGTGTAAGGATGGCTTCAAGGATCGAGAGCAGATGGAGATTCCAAACAACTTCCAACAATTGCTGTAGTTGCGTCCTATGATACTTTCGCAGCTGTCCGATATATGTAATATGAGTTATTAGGAATGTGGCCTAACTTAACCCAAAAGCTAGCTCAAGAGTTAAGGATTGCCACATCCTTTATATACTACCCAAAGATCTTAATCCCAAGCAATGTGGGACATTCTAATAGGCCTCCTCGAGATGTGGGTGGGAAACGGCCCAACGGGAACAGCCCAAGCCCAACATCTCGGAAATACAACAAGACATGCCACTTATATGGGCCACATAGGTGGGAAACCATTTTTGTGGAAATTTGCTTGTTGGGCCAACCTTGGGCTCTGATACCATATTAGGAATGTGGCCTAACTTAACCCAAAAGCTAGCTCAAGAGTTAAGGATTGCCACATCCTTTATATACTACCCAAAGATCTTAATCCCAAACAATGTGGGACATTCTAATATGAGTAGTGGATCATCTTACTATTCTTGTCGCATTTGTCTACTTTCTTTGACTATTTTGTGGTAGTATCAAGTATGTACCTGACTAACTTGTGTTTGTAGGCATTATTAGTTGGAAGTGACAGCAATGAAAGTGGGATCGTGTCGCTTATTGAAGTGCTAGACTAGTTTCCATTTAAATCCCAAGACAAGAGGAAGATATAATTTACTTTTTGTACAAACATCTGGTGGACCCAAAAACTACGAAGGAACTCAAAAGGTAACGAGACCTTACTATCTTCATTCTAATAAAACCATATCGTTCATTTGGTGCATTAAGCATTATATCTTCTGCAGTGGGTGAAGAGCTTTGATCAGAGGATGCGTGAGAGCATTGATTATGCCATTTGTTTGAACAGTGTTGGTTCTTGCCAAGAACTTCTTGGGACAATGAACTATTGATCCAGCACTAAAATTGTTATCTCTAGTAAGTAGGCAATGCCTTTACGTTTTCATGAGCTAATTCTTTATAATCATTTACCCTTTGCTGGTAGAACAAAAGCACCTACATTGTGCTTAGTTGATTGATTTTTTGTTTTTTTCACTTCCTTTTATTATCTTCCCATGCGGGGGTTATTTGAGATGTTTGACTATACTATGTTCTCCTTCCGTCGATTGTTTTCTCTGTTCATTACAGTAGACCCTTTCTGAATAAATTTGTGCTGCTGAATTCTGTAGATTGCTTGGGAGCATGAACAGTTTTCAAGACTCCGAGAAACTGCTGGCACTTTATCCGAACTTTTCAACTCCACCTGAGTTACTCGAAAAACAAATTGCCTTTGAGATTGGCCAAGTAATATGCTTCATCAATTAACTAGTTAATGTGATTGTGTTAGACTTTCTGGAAGCATCAAAACTTTCTAAAAATGTTTTCAGATATACTCTGCAACCTGAACAAATTCATGGCGTTTGAAACTGCTGACCCTTTTCTCATTCGCCAGGTAAGTCTAGCTTTTCTATAGAGTTTCCCTTTCTTTGGTTATTTAATACTTGGTTTAATAGTTATTGAAACTAATTACTACTGAATATTTATTTGGTTGCAATTCATTTGACAATAGGAAGGAGACTTTGACATGAGTCACGTGGTTCAAATAAGTTCCTTGAACCCTTTTTATTGAATTAGTTTGTGTTCCTTTCACCTTTATCACGGTCTCTGATGTTCATTATTGTTTTTTTTTAACAGGTGTTCTTTATACCTGATTGATCGATACTTCTTTATGTTGTGTCTTGGAGTTGGCCGAATCAATATTCTTTATACCTGATTGATCTCTCTTGTATGTTCTTGTGTTCCGTTCATTTGTGTTCCGTTCATGCTTATTTCGCTTTGCCATTATCTAATTGGTGATCTCTGGTTAAATCTTTGTAGGATCTGGTTAAATCTTTGCCATTTGATTTGACTCGGCTATTTATTTTATTCGTCGTTCTTTTCTAAAAGTTATGTGCTCTTTCTTAATTTTCATTCTCTTATTTCAGTTGATAGCTGAAGAGATAGGATTGGTGGTTAAAGTTGACTGTTTCAGAAAAGCCGAAAGAGAAGCAAAGTAAAGATCAAAGAGTGCACAAAGAAATGAGGTCCCATATTTCGCTCTCCCTGTACTTTTTATTTTTACTGTTGATTGATGCTACACTGACATGAGACGATGTTCTAAGTTTGAAATTACAGTATCTATTTACAAATTTGCTGATATCAAATTTTTCTGGCAGCAAGCTGGTGTTAGTACATTAACATTGCTCAAAACTGCGGTTCAGCAACAGCCAACAGATGATCCTTTTGAATGTATGTGGTTACATGTTTTTCTTTTTTTGATTGGATAACTTAGATGTTGCATCTAATTTCTTGTTCTTTTGTAGTTGAAAGAAAGAAGCTAGTGCGTATAGTGTTAAGGATCTTGCTTCACAGAAATCTTTTGCTATGCATATTGGCCATCTCTCTAGTGAAACTGGATAGTTTTATTTGTTTGGTTGTGCTATTGGTCTTAGTACTGTACAAAAGAGACGTGCATAGGTTTTCTGCATGTTCTTGGTAAATGCAAGTCAGGGTGTATATGTATGAATTAGTTTTCGAAGAGGTTTAAAAAGGTCATCTTATTTCATGCCATTATCAATATATGGTCGGAATCAATCTTGTGATTTGATAGCATGTAGGGTGTGCTAGTAATAGTTTTGGTGTCATGTTACATTTTCTAACAATCTTGCAGTAATTCTTTTACTAGTTTTTATGTGTTACATCTCTTGGTTATAGGTTGTCGATGATTCTGGATACATATAGATTTTGATGTTCCAAGATAAGAATTTTCAGGTTCCTTTTCTTGAGAGAGATAATGTTAAATTGAAAGTTTTTTGTGATTAGTTGGCCAAAGTGATTGTATAGATCAGTTTTTTTTCGGCTCTTGATTATGTGGGTTCACTTCTTTGTGTTAGGTTCTCTTTATTATAGAGCGTTTATGTTTTCGCTCTTGCTTTAGGTCGCTTAGGAGGATGGGTTTGTGTTAGTTGTTTCCTTAACTCTCTTTGGTTGTTCATGTCCTGGTAAAAGTGCTCCTAGATTTTAATTCTGTGTTACTTAATTACTAGCATAACTTCAATTTTTTTTCCAGGAGTTGGAATCATTGTGGTTTTCTGAATATATTCTCCGCTAAGACTAAGTGGACTAGTTGAGTTCTTCGGTTGGCTAAATGCAGATATGCCTGCAGTTTACTGAAATAGGCTATGAAGCAGATATCCATTTCACTTACAAATGTAGAGGAATCATCAAAAGACTCTGAAGTTGTATGTATTATGTCGATCGATGCTATAATGAAAAACCAACTTTTACTGTTTCGGTAGAATCTTGCATGTGCTGCCAAAACTTGTTAATTTTCAGGCTGCAAAGGGGAGCATTTTGATGCAGATCACATTGTAGAATTGCAATTTTACATTTTTTTACTGATGCGTGCGAGACTTTTTTGTGTGTAGGATATCTAACAATTACAAAATCAGAGAATTGGAGTTTTGGCTTGTGTCTTGTTGTGGGTTTCAGATCACTCACTTCACTTGGTCCCTTGGATCAGGATCGAAGAAATACCGGTATTGTAAGGTAGAAAGTCTATGTTTGTTTGGTTTGAAGCAAAGTTCATAATAAGGCAAAGTTCATAATATCAAACTTTCTTTTTTGTCTCTTTTCTTTTTTATATAAAAATGATATTGTTTTGTTCTGTTTTCCCTCTGAATAGCAATATCTCAAAATAACGGCTTTTCGGTTTGCCAAGTGAACTGATGAGTAAAGGAAAGCATTTCATATTGATACGAAATCCTCTTCACATACTGGTTAGGCTTTCTCATCAAACACCGGTTCTAAGCTTTAGCCAATGTTTCATCTAATGTTCTTCTCTGTTTATCCTTTTTGCAGCCTTCCTCTGCGAAGGTACACCTTCCATCATTTCTCGAATTAGGCTTAGGGGAATTAGTTTTGATATGTAGTAATCTCTGTGAGATGGGAACACCACCAGCAGTCTTCGATGCGGATCAGCTTCAGCTAGATCCCGAGGTTTTGTTTCTGTAATATGTAAAAGTTTCACAAAGATGTCTTTTCCTCCTACATGTTATGCCATCCATATATACATGCAGACTAAACTACATAGTCTTTGTGATGATTTGGAGATTCCATTTCAAGCCTCTATGCTTTAGTAAGGTTTTATCTTATCATAATCTTAAGGTTTGATAGATATCAAAACATTAATTTTCACTATGGTTTGCTGTTTTTGTTTTAAGATGGAAGTTGGTCCTATATATACCAGATGGAGTATGGGCACCATGGTGGTATAAGAGTATGCACGAATCAACAGGTTTCTCATCTCCAAAGAAGTATCCTCGAGTAAGGCCCTTGTTTGTTGTGGTTCAATGATTCTAAATTTAATCTAAGATGTGTTTGGTATTAATTTTTTTCCTTTAGAGATTCCCATTGTCACATTATGATTTGCTGGAGCAAATTCTAGTTCAACATTCTCAGGAGCCACGTGAAGCAAATTCTCAGGGATTCTCACTTGTTCTCCTTTTCCTTCAATAGAGGTGATTGAAATTGGGACATCAATTATGAGGGTCAAAGAATCTCTAATAGGGTTTACTTGTTTTTGATAAACTTGCATATTCTAACTTTTTCTTCTTCTTTTCAATGTGTCTACTCGGTTGTACAAGACAGTGACTCGGTATGGGAAGGACTTGGATTTACAGGGGAAAGATATTCAAGCTTGAGGAAAATCTAGATCGGTAAGAACAGTCAAATCTAGAAACGAAAAAGCATATAACAAAGTTTTCTAAGCAATGTTGTTTTATATGTTGAAATATTGGTTAAGGCTGTTTGATTCAGCAAAATCTCTGGCTTTCGAAATGTTCCAGCGTGTAAAGAGGTACGCATCTGGTGACCAATCGCTAAGTTTTGTTCTGTTAATACTACGCTACCACAACAGCTTTCTTGTGGCAAATATTACAGGTTAAAGAAGCAATCTTCAGATCTCTCATAACCAATGGTATGTTTGACAATACTCATATCAGGTTGTCTCTGTCTCGAGGTAAAAAGGTATTTCAAGTTGCTTTGAAACCTATTTTAGAAACTTCTATTTTCATTTTGACCATTTAGTCTAAAGAAAACTGTGAAACTTGTTTGTTTAAGGTAACTTCTGGAATGAGCCCCGCATTTAATCGATCTGGATGTACTCTTACGGGTAACCTTTCAGTTATCTTAACAACCAATTAATTGTGGCAATCTGATTACTTTAGATTTTGATTTACATGAAAATTTTGAGTTCTTTCTTTCAAATAATGCAGTGCTTGCCGAATGGAAGCCTCTGGTCTATGACAATGACAGTGGAATTGTGCTGGTGACTGCAACCACGCGCCGAAACTCGCCATTATGCTTGATGGAGGATGGAGTCAAGGAGGAGGAATTGGGAACGCTTGTGGTGGAGCGAATCCTTAAGAATTTCAAACCTATAATGTTCGTATAAGTTACTTATATGTAAATAATTTCGGCGTTTTCGTATTGCAGGTTGTTGTTACATGTGAAATAACCTTGAAGTTTTTCATTGATGATGATTTTGCTGATGGATAGAATTATTACTGCCAAGGGAGTGATACTTGATTTATGCATGTTTACTTAATGTACACTCTGGATTTGGCTCATCTTTGTTTCTCGAGTAACCTTAAGAAGGGTCTTCTTAGTTCTTAGTTCAGTTTTGTAGAGTTACATGAGGCCGTTTTGTCACTTTGCTTCAGCAAATTTCTTTGTAAAATTTGTGACTTCATGATTGTTTTCTGTTCTTCCCTTGATCTCACTACTTGCGTAGATAGTGTGGTAAGGATTTTTTTTTGCTGATTTCTATTAACTAACTGATATGGTTTCAAGTTTGAGTTTGGACATGTTACTATTTTTGAGCCTTTAAGCGTGTGGAATATATATCTTCGGGAAAAGATCAACAACAAAACAATCTCTTTATAGACACTAATTTGTATCAAAGAACACTTATCATGCAATTAGTTATCTGATCAAATCTGGTTATGTTTATTATTTGTTTACTTGGGCTAAGAAGGATTGAGCCATTGTACATGGATTATAGACAGACAATTGTGCAGGGTCTCCAGTCTCTTTTAGGTAGACAATTCAAAAGCAGCGTGGAACTGTTTGTTCTGGTGATGTACCTTCACTCATCTTATGTGTTATCAACATACTATGGTTCGACTTTCCTTTCTCTTCGTAGTGCTTCTGTTTTTTTTTTATATTGGATTTATTATTTTGACATCGCTAAGGTAAAACTAGTTGATTTCTTTCTAGGTGCGGAATACCTGGTAACTTAATCTAGCCAAGAGCTACGCAACCCGCAGGATGAAAGTATGAGTGCATCTTTCTTTTTATTCTTAATTTCCAATTTTTATTTGTATATCATGTACTGGGAGAATGATTTCGAGGGTAAGAGCATGGGCAGTGGGGCAAGCAGGTGGGTGTGAGTCTTGGGGTGTAGGTATTAAAAAAACGAAAAAATTATCTCTCTCTTCACACCCGGGTGTAAGTTTACACTCGGGTGTAACACTTTTTCTCTCTATCTCTCTCTTTCTTTCTCTTTCTCTTTTCTCTTTTGCTTTAAATTATAATACTAAAAAAATACTTACACCCACACAAACACATTTGCCACTGCTGATGGTCTAATGCGGATGATTTTTTAGTTACTGGTGTTGCTGGTGGCTCATAAAGGAAGTAGCCTCTATTTTGCTATTATATCCATTTGTTGATATCTTGGAAACTTTTTTCTATATATGGACTGGTGTAAAAGATGGAAATACTTTGTCAAGCTCAGCAAAGACACTATGTATGTCTCTGGTATTGAGACTTTCCTCTTTTTTTTTTTTGATGAAATGTGAAATTAATTCATGAAAAAGAGTTATTTACAACAATTGAAAAAATAGACCAAAGGAGAAACAGAGGGATAACGTTGGTATATAAAACAGACCAACCAAAGCTAATGATTTTGTCTTGAGCTAAACCACCTTTGAAGCAACCCTGGAAGCTTCCTATTCTCGAAATATCGTACGGACACGATTCTCGAACGTACAACTCTCTCAATCGTACTAGCTAGTTGGGAGTGCGTACGATATAGCTTGTTGTGCCTTCTCTCGTTTCGTTCCCGCCATAGATAATATATGGTTTCTTGGAAACTCAAGCGGAGAAGATTGTAGGCATACCTCACATATGGATGAGTGCTTAGCCGCTGAATTGTCTCAGCCCAATTGGGATCCGGGTCAGTTCGCAACAAGTCACCTATAACTTGAATCCACACCATGAACAAATAAGGGCAAGCGAAAAATAAATGATCTCGAGTTTCATCAGGTTCTCCACATAAGAGACATGGTTGGTCTTCTCCCCATGCTCGCATCCGTGAACCTGTGGTAAGCCTATCGCTGATCGCTAACCAAGTGATAAAAGCAAACTGAGGATCTGTTTGCGGGAACCATATAACCTTACTCCACTCCTTTGTATACCCGCGAGTTCGCAGCTGGTCCCATGTATTAGCCGCTGCATATTCAGACCAGAAATCTTCCAGAGAGTGTCTCCACACAACCTTATCGATACCTGCTTCTCTGTTTGGTACCTTAAGACCCTGAATGCTATGGATCACTTGTATTAAATTTCTGTTCCGACAACGTCTAAAGCTCCACCCCGCTTCATTAACAACATCAGAGACCTTAGCGAATTTAGGGATACCTAGTTGTCTTTGGTATTGAGACTTTCCTCTTAATAGACAAGAAATCAATGAAAGTAGTAGATAATGTTATCGAAAGCATGGGCACTGAAGGAAATACATGAGAAATGGACAGCTTCCACCAAGCTGATGGGTGAAGGTTCGTTGTAAACTTGCTTCTATTGTTCATTAGCCTTTGTTTTTGGGAAGTCTACATATATTGTTTTCTTTTGGCTTCACTTGAAACTGCATAGAAGATTTTAGGGATATTCCATATAAGCAATTTTTTTTCAAAATGGAGAATGTCTTGTATCATTTAAATGAAAATTTTCATTGTAAAGTTGGCTGTTATGTCCCATATGCAGGTTTAGTGGCGGAAATCAAAGATATCAGCCACACAAAGCATAAGGAAGACCCTCTTTATTCCATTTCACTAAGCCCTCTTTCACCTCAGATGTGGAGTTCAGTTATTGCTCTGTTTTTTCATATCTTGAAATGTTACAGAAATGCACGTTAAAACATTGCTGATGGGTGAAGGTTTGTTTGTAAAATAGCTTCATTAACTCTTGGGAATCTGCATACTCTTAAGCTTGCATATTATTTTTGCATTTGCAGAGCATCAATATTCTTACTGCAATGATTCATGAGGAGTAGGCGTTGCTGAGTTGGAAGTACACACTTGGATTCCTGTCAAGTTGTCAAAAACCTCATCACAGAGTTTTCTTAGCTTGTTCTACTGTTTGATCCTTATTGTATTGGTTACCTTTATTGATTTCTTTAAATTGCTCCTTGTGCAGATACATGGGACATCACGCTTAGGTTGTAGAGCGTCTCAAAATGAGAAACAGTTCCACTTTAGGTTTTGGCTCCTAAATTGCATTTGTGGCTTTCTTCTATCGATGAAGTGGTCTAGAGGTTTGGGTGTTATCAGATTATATATCTTGGTTTAGTAGGTTTAGTTATTTGGTTTAACTTAACCAATTGTATAGCTGTAGTATAAATACTCTTGTACAGTGATGATTATACAATAATGAGAAAGTCAACATTTGAAAACTCTAACAAACTATTCTCATCATCTCCTTCTTCGTAATATGGTATCAGAGCCATCAAAGCTCAAAACTCCATTGATTTCGACTTGATTTCTTCGTTCCGAGCTCAGATTCTTCTTCTCCGTTGTCTAATCTCTAGATCCAATGGTGACTGTAGCTCGTGCTCAACGAAAATCCACTCGATCGAAGTCTGGTACAAGTTCCGCTACTCGAAAGCCGTCGCGATCCACCGGCGTTGTTGATTCACCTCCGAACTCTCCTCCAGTTACTAGATCTAATGTTTCTGGAGCTTCGCGAGCTCAAACAACATCGGAATCTCCAGATCCGACTCACTCTCCTTTCTTTATGCATAGCGCCGATCATCCAGGTTTAAATATCATCTCTCATCGCTTAGATGAAACGAACTATGGTGATTGGAGTGTTGCTATGCTTATCTCTCTAGATGCTAAGAACAAAACTGGATTCATAGATGGAACTCTCACTCGTCCTGTAGAAACGGATTTGAATTTTCGTCTGTGGTCTAGGTGTAATAGCATGGTCAAATCCTGGTTGCTTAATTATGTTTCTCCTCAGATTTATCGAAGTATTCTTCGTATGAATGATGCTTCGGATATATGGCGTGATCTTCACAGTCGATTTAATCTGACTAATCTTCCACGCACATATAATCTTACTCAAGAGATCCAGGATTTACGCCAAGGTACATTGTCTCTGTCTGAGTACTATACTCGTCTCAAGACATTATGGGATCAATTGGATAGTACAGAGGCATTGGATGAGCCATGTACATGTGGTAAAGCTACTCGTCTGCAACAGAAGGCGGAGAGAGCTAAGATTGTGAAATTCTTGGCTGGTTTGAATGAATCTTATGCGATTGTTCGCAGACAGATCATAGCTAAGAAAGTTCTTCCTAGCTTGGCAGAGGTGTATAACATTTTGGATCAAGACAATAGTCAACAGGGATTCTCTAATGTTGTTGCTCCACCTACTGTTTTCCAAGTGTCTGAGAATGTTAACTCTACTGGCATGGATCCTACTATTTGCTATGTTCAGAATGGTCCTAATAAGGGAAGACCAATTTGTTCTTTCTGCAATAGAGTGGGACATATTGCTGAGAGATGTTACAAGAAACATGGATTTCCTCCTGGATTCACACCCAAAGGAAAAACTGGTGATAAGTTTCAGAAACCAAAACCTCTGGCTGCTAATGTTGCTTTGACAACTACAGAGTCTGTTGATACTCATTCTAGTTTGGAGAATCTGGTGGGGAGCATGAATAAAGAACAACTTCAACAATTCATTGCAATGTTCAGCTCTCAACTTCAGAATTCTTCTCCCAGTAACTCTACAGTTGCTAGTTCTTCTCAGTCAGAAAATATTGGTATTTCTTTTTCACCTTCAACATATTCTTTTATTGGAATATTGACTGTTGCTCGTCATACACTTGATTCTAAAACATGGGTGATAGACTCTGGAGCTACACACCATGTCTCTCATGATAGAAGTTTATTTTCCACATTGGATACTTCTGTTTTGAGTTCAGTGAATTTGCCAACAGGTCCCACTGTGAAGATCAGTGGTGTTGGTACATTAAGACTTAACAGTCATATCCTTCTCCACAATGTGTTGTTTATCCCGGAGTTTTGACTGAATCTCATCAGTATAAGTTCTCTCACTGATGATGTTGGTTCCCGAGTGATTTTTGACAAAACTACTTGTGAAATTCAGGATCCTATCAAGGCCCGGAAGCTTGGTCAAGGTAGGAGGATTGGAAATCTCTATGTGTTAGACGTTGAAGAATCTATCTCAGTGAATGTAGTTGTGGACATCAGTATGTGGCATAGGAGACTTGGTCATGCTTCTTTGCAAAGACTTGATGTTATTTCAGATTCATTGGGGACTACAAGGCACAAGAATAAAGGCTCCGATTATTGTCATGTCTGTCATTTAGCAAAACAGAGAAAGTTATCCTTTCCTTCTCAGAATAAAGTTTGTAATGAGATATTTGACATGTTACATATAGACATTTGGGGTCCTTTCTCAGTTGAAACAGTTGATGGGTTTAAGTATTTCTTGACAATAGTAGATGATCATTCAAGAGCAACATGGATTTATCTACTAAGAACTAAGTCTGAGGTGCTAACAGTTTTCCCTGGTTTTATTGAACAAGTTGAGAATCAATACAAGATCAAGGTTAAGGCTGTGAGATCTGATAATGCACCAGAATTGAGATTTACAAGTTATTATCAACAGAAGGGTATTGCTTCATTTTATTCTTGTCCAGAGACTCCAGAACAGAATTCGGTTGTAGAAAGAAAGCACCAACACATATTAAACGTAGCCAGAGCTCTAATGTTTCAATCTCAGGTACCACTCTCTTTATGGGGTGACTGTGTTCTCACAGCTGTTTTTCTTATCAACAGGACTCCATCACAGTTGCTTTCTAACAAGACAACTTATGAGATTCTTACTGGTTCAGCTCCTCAATATGAGCAGCTTCGTACTTTTGGTTGTTTGTGCTACAGTTCTACATCACCAAAACAGAGACACAAGTTCCAACCGAGATCAAGAGCTTGTTTGTTTCTTGGATATCCTTCTGGATACAAAGGTTACAAGTTAATGGATTTGGAGAGTAATACGGTTTTCATCTCTAGAAATGTGATATTTCATGAAGAAACTTTCCCATTGGTTAAAGATCCAAGATCAGAGAGTTCTTTGGAGTTCTTCACACCAATGGTTCCTGTGTCTTCAGGTACTCATCATTCTCCTCTCTCTTCTCTTCCATCACAAATTTCTGATCTACCACCACAAATTTCTTCTCAGAGAGTTAGGAAACCACCTGCTCATCTGATAGATTATGACTGTAACATTATACAGTCTAATCATAAATATCCTATTTCCTCTACACTTTCTTATTCTAAAATTTCTCCATCTCATATGTGTTATATCAATAATATCACAAAAATTCCTATTCCCACCACTTATGCTGAGGCACAAGACACCAAAGAATGGTGTGAGGCGGTTGATGCTGAGATTGGTGCTATGGAATCTACTAACACTTGGGAGATTACTACATTACCACCAGGAAAGAAAGCTGTAGGTTGTAAATGGGTATTCACATTGAAATTTTTGGCTGATGGTAGTCTTGAAAGATATAAGGCTAGATTGGTTGCAAAAGGTTATACTCAGAAAGAAGGGTTGGATTATACTGACACATTTTCTCCAGTTGCAAAGATGACCACAATCAAGTTGTTGTTGAAAGTTTCAGCTTCTAAGAAATAGTTTTTGAAGCAGTTGGATGTGTCTAATGCGTTTTTCAATGGAGAATTGGAAGAAGAGATATTCATGAAGTTGCCTGAAGGTTATGCAGCAAGAAAAGGTATGCAATTACCATCAAATGCTGTTTGTAGGTTGAAAAGATCTATTTATGGTCTTAAACAAGCTTCCAGACAGTGGTTTAAGAAGTTTTCTGCATCACTTCTCAGTTTGGGTTTTAAAAAGACTCATGGTGATCATACTCTATTTCTCAAAGAGTATGAAGGTGAATTTGTTATTATCTTAGTCTATGTTGATGATATTGTGATAGCTAGCACAAGTGAGAATGCTGCAACACAATTAACTGATGACTTGAAGTTGAGATTTAAACTGAGGGATCTTGGTGATTTGAAATATTTTTTGGGGCTTGAGGTTGCTAGGACGACTGCAGGAATTTCTTTATGCCAAAGAAAGTATGCTTTGGAATTATTGCAGTCTACTGGTATGACTAATTGTAAGCCGGTTTCAGTACCAATGATTCCTAATGTGAAGATGATGAAAGAAGATGGTGATTTGCTAGAAGACAAAGAGCAATATCGCAGAATTGTTGGCAAATTGATGTATCTGACAATCACAAGGCCATATATCACTTTTGCGGTTAACAAATTATGTCAATTCTCTTCTGCTCCTAGAACAACTCATCTTGCTGGAGCTTACAGAGTTTTACAGTATATCAAAGGAACAGTTGGACATGGCTTATTCTACTCTGCTTCTCCTGATCTCACTTTAAAAGGGTTTACAGACTCTGATTGGGCTTCCTGTTCTGATAGTCGCCGTTCTACTACTGGTTTCTCAATGTTTGTAGGGGATTCTTTGATATCTTGGCGATCAAAGAAGCAACATACAGTGTCAAGATCCTCTGCAGAAGCTGAGTACAGAGCTTTAGCTTTGGCAACTTGTGAGATAGTCTGGTTGTACACTCTACTTACCTCTTTGAAGACTTCTCCAACAGTGCCTATCCTCTTTTCAGACAGCACTGCAGCAATATACATTGCTACTAATCCAGTCTTCCATGAAAGACCAAAGCATATTGAAATCGATTGTCACACAGTTAGGGAGAGACTGGACAATGGTGAACTCAAGCTACTTCATGTGAGAACTGAAGATCAAGTAGCTGATATTTTGACTAAACCATTGTTTCCTCATCAATTTGAGCATCTTAAGTCCAAGATGAACATTCTAAACATTTTTGAATGCTCATCTTGAGGGGGCATATCAGATTATATATCTTGGTTTAGTAGGTTTAGTTATTTGGTTTAACTTAACCAATTGTATAGCTGTAGTATAAATACTCTTGTACAGTGATGATTATACAATAATGAGAAAGTCAACATTTGAAAACTCTAACAAACTATTCTCATCATCTCCTTCTTCGTAATAGGTGTCTTACTTTGCTGCGTGAGAATTGATGGGTCATTGCACATTCTTATGTGGTTGTGTATGGTTTCAAGGGTTTTACTCGTTTTCTAATTTTGTATACCTACTTTACCTGTTTTTTTTTATCTGGATGAATCTGGTTATTGAATGTTGTTCTTTTCAAGTGTTTACAATTTATCCTCTTGCTGTGGGATAAGTCTAGCTGTGGAAACCAAGGGCCAGGGAAAAAGGTTGATGCTTTAGCTGCCTTGACTTCTGCATTTAAATTTTCTTCCGGGAGAACAAGCTCTTCGGTAAATAGTATAAGCTCATTTTTTATGTTTTTACTAGATTCTTTCTACACATATATGAAGATATTGACAGATATTTCATTGTCAATGAGATTCATGTCATAGATTTCTAAAACTTATCAAAACCTTTCACTTTCCATCAAACTTCTCTTCCCGCTTATGTTTTCTTGTTTGCTTGAGGGCAAGCAAAGACTAAGTTTGGGGGAGTTGATATGTCTATAATTTGCATGATTTAAGCATTCATTCTTATCACTTTGTCATTGTTTCAATCACATTTCATCTCATTAGTAGTCGTTTTAGTGTGTTTTGCATACTTAGGACGTTTTTGCATTAGGATTGCATGTGCATTGCATATTTGGTTGTTTTAAGGTACTTTGGATGCTTTTGGAGTTCAAACAGAGGAGAAACAGAACAGAAATTCAGAACGCTCAATCACGCCTTCAGCCAAAGCACTCGATCGCAACCTCGGAGCCCTGACAGAGCAAAGCACTCGATCGCAACCCCAGAAACTGTCATGAAGGGCAAAACCACTCGATCACAACCCCGGAGCAATTTCAGAAGAAACCACTCGATCGCAAGATCGAGCTGAAGCTGTCATGGAGGACATATCACTCGATCACCACCTTGTCATCAGAAGCCCATCTACTCATTCCTCACTCAACCAGACAAGCTGAGCATACGGAAGAGAAGAGAAGCTGAAGAAACCACTCGATCACCACCTCACGTCATCTACTCGATCGCACCACTTGATCGCAGGGTCGCTGGACCATTCCATCTCGTCTTCACTACAGACCACTCGATCGCAAGACGGAGTTCCCGAAGCCCAGTTTGATCAGTTACACTCGATCACAGGGAAGCCCATTTCAGCCCATCAGATGCTCGATCGCAGAGTCTCGATGTGAAGACCACTATCTCGAACTTTCCTTATTTAACTTTTTTCGCTTATATAAGCAGCCTCTAAGGGTTTTCCCTAGGGCAGCCAGTCATTATTTTCAGTTTTTACCTAGACTTGTTTTCATAGCCGCAGTGTGTTCTTCCTGCGACTTTGTATTCGCTTTCAAGTATTTTATAATTCAGTTTTCGTTTCAGTCTTTATCATTTCCTGTTATCATGTTTTCAATCGTTTCATTGCTATTGTTTTTGATTATGTCTGAGTAGTGAATTGTATTTCTGAGGATGGGATAGAGTAGTCGTGGTTGCCTTAGTCGCTTTAGATGGTTGAGTTTAGATTGTTTGAATCCCTTCTGGATTAGTTGTACTTATTGCTTGTTCCTTTCTGATCAACTGGAAAATGAATCCAGACATTCCCGCACCCAAAAGGTGTTTGATGGAATGTCTGATCCACTAATTCCAGAGATACTCGTCTCTATCCCAAGGTATTGGCCGTTTAGAGCGGGTATTGGCTTTAACAAGTTGATTCGATATTGCCTGCTTAGTTAGAGATCGCTAATGGTGATTAGGTCTGTGTCTAGGTCTGCTTGAGAATTTCTATCACGGTGGTGAATTGATTTGCTTTTGAATTTGTTGTCAAGGGATAGCTTCTGTGAAGTTTTGTCAACCGTCTAAATAGATTAAGGAGATCACGCTATTCGATTACCCTGTCCTTAGAAATCTCTCATCCATTTGATTGCCTGCTATCTTAACTGCTTTGTTCTTCAACTGCCTGCTATTGCTAGTTTGCATTTCAGTTTCATTTCATTTCTGTTATTTCGCACTAGGACTGTTAGAAAACCACAACTCTCTGCTTGGCTTGACTTAGCAAATTCTGATCATATCTCATCTGTTTGCATCACACTAGATTGGATTGACAACCTAAAATACTACAACGACACAATAGTGTTTTAGGATAATTGATCTGAAAAATTCTATTATCAATTTGGCGCCGTTGCCAGTTTAGTGTTTGTTTGCTATATTTGAGATCATTAGAATCGTTAAGATCAAGTTCGTTTTTGTTACACAAGATATTGACATTGTGTTTTTCTGTCTGTATTTCAGGTACTCACAGCAACCAGCTTTACAGACTCATCTCTGATTGGTCTGCTAAAGCCTTGCTGTTACCTGTTATATGCATACACGGTCAAGAAAAAATCAAAATCTCCTTTTCAACGATAACATCGACCGTATCGCTCGCCAACTAAGAGAACAGACAGCAACAGACACAATGGCTGACATTGTAGATGACCAAGACCAACCCAACAACATTGGTGCTGGTGACTTCCCACACAATCACAACCAGCGTCATGGAATTGTTCCTCCACCAGTCCAGAACAACAACTTTGAGATCAAGAGCGGTCTCATTGCAATGGTTCAGGGGAACAAGTTTCACGGCTTGCCAATGGAGGATCCGCTTGATCATCTTGACGAGTTTGAAAGGCTCTGTGGCCTTACTAAAATCAATGGAGTAAGTGAAGATGGTTTCAAGCTTCGCTTGTTTCCATTCTCACTTGGAGACAAAGCCCATCTGTGGGAAAAGACGCTACCCCAGGGTTCAATCACGACCTGGGATGACTGCAAAAAAGCCTTCTTGGCTAAATTTTTCTCCAACTCCAGAACAGCAAGACTCCGGAATGAGATATCCGGATTCACTCAGAAGAATACTGAAACCTTCTGTGAAGCATGGGAGCGCTTCAAAGGTTATCAGACCAAATGCCCTCATCACGGCTTTGGAAAAGCTTCTCTTCTCAGCACACTCTACAGAGGCGTTCTTCCCAAGATAAGGATGCTGCTTGATACCGCTTCCAATGGGAACTTCCTCAACAAAGAAGATGGTGAAGGATGGGAGCTCGTTGAAAACTTAGCTCAGTCGGATGGCAACTACAACGAGGATTATGACAGAAGCATCCGCACCAGTTCTGACACTGATGAGAAGCACCGCAAAGAGATGAAAGCTCTCAATGATAAACTAGACAAGCTCCTGCAAGTGCAACAGACGCATGTTCACTTCGTCTCTGAAGATGAACTATTCCAAGTCCAAGAGGGGGAGAATGATCAGTCTGCTGAAATCAGTTACATTCAGAACCAAGGTGGCTACAACAAGGGTTACAACAACTACAGACCAAACCCGAATCTGTCATATAGAAGCACCAAGGTTGCCAACCCTCAAGACCAAGTTTATCCTTCTCAGCAGCAGCAACAACAACAACCCAAACCGTTTGTTCCATACAACCAAGGCCAAGGGTTCGTTCCAAAGCATCAGTTCCAGGGAGGATATCAACAACAACAACCACCACCTGGTTTTCCATCACAGCAACATCAAGCACCTTCGCCTCCGGATTCTTATATGAAGAACTTGGTCCAACAGATACTTCAAGGGCAAGCCACAGGAGCGATGGAAATTGCAAAGAAGTTGGTTGAATTAAACAACAAAGTCGACCGCAATTTCAATGACCTTAACAGCAAGTTTGAATCATTGAGTACTAGACTGCGCTATATGGAAGGCAATCCTATTTCAACATCCATTTCCAACAACCCAGGCCAACTTCCAAGGAAAGCAATCCAGAACCCAAAGGAGTATGCCACTGCTCATGCTATCACTATCTGCCATGATCGAGAGCTGCCACCTCGACATGCCCTTAACTCAATCACTGAGGGCAGTGTGGTTCAAGAGGGGGAGGATTTCTGTCAAGATGACGTTATGGCTGACCAAACACTAGAGGAGCCCATACTTGACAAGCATTCCACTCGCCCACCAGCTTCACCAGTCGCTCCCACTGTTGAAAAACCAGCTGCTGCAAAGACCAAGGATACAGTCTTTGTGCCACCTCCCAAGAAATTGGAAGATCCTGGTTCGTTTACCTTACCTTGCTCTATAGGTCCTTTAGCCTTCAGTAACTGCCTATGTGATCTAGGTGGTTTTATAAGTCTCATGCCTCTCTCTGTGGCCAAGAGACTAGGTCTCAGCGAGTACAAATCTTTCAACAACTCCTTGATCCTGGCTGATGGGTCTGTTAGACTACCTCATGGGTTATTAGAAGATTTGCCTATTAAGATTGGAAATGTTGAAGTCCCCACAGACTTCATAGTGCTCGAAATGGATGAAGATCCAATAAATCCTTTAATCTTAGGGAGGCCCTTCTTAGCTACAGCCGGAGCAGTCATAGATGTCAAGAAGGGGATGATTGATCTTAATCTCGGAAAAGATTTCACGATGAAGTTTGACATTAATGATGCTATGAAGAAACCTACTCGACATGACCAACACTCAATCACTGCGGACAGTGAAGTTCAGGAAGGGGAGACTTCTAGACGCATTGAAGTCTCAGTTGTTCAACTCAATCATTCAGCTCAACCTCGCTATCAAACTCAGTCTGCCTTGGAAGAGAAAGCTGCTATAATTGAGAGGATGGTAAAACGACTCAAGCCAACTCCATCACCTTCACTTGCTCTCCCATGGAAGTTCAGGAAAACTTGGAAAGACAACTATGAATCTCTTGCAGAGAAACAGCTTGACGAGATGGAAGCAGTGATGCCATTAATTGAAGTTCTCAAGCTGATTCCGGACCCTCACAGAGATGTGAGAAACTTGATACTAGAAAGGCTCAACATGTATCAAGATTCAGGTGATGAATATGATGCCAATCCGATTCAAGCCTCTGATGAGAGGATTATTCAAGAAAAGTTGGAAGATCCTGGATCTTTCACTCTGCCATATTCCATCAGGCAATCGACTTTCAGCAATTGTCTATGTGATCTAGGAGCTTCAGTCAGCCTAATGCCACTCTTTGTGACATCACCTTGATTCTTGCTGATAGGACTACAAGGAGACCTTTTAGCCTGCTGGAGGATGTGCCAGTAATGATTAATGGAGTAGAGGTGCCTACTGATTTTGTTGTGCTTGACATGGATGAAGAATCTAAGGATCCTCTGATCTTAGGAAGACCTTTCTTGGCCTCAGTGGGAGCAGTAATAGATGTCAGATATGGTAAGATTGATCTCAACCTTGGGAGGTACGTCAAGTTGCAGTTTGACATCA